CTCTACCACTCCTCTCTCCCAGTCCACTCCCTCCCTTCCTTCTCACCCTCCCTCCCGTCCTCTCTCCCACCCTCTCTACCCCTTGTAAAAGTAATTCAAGAGACAGAAGGAATTGGGATATTGCTTTCTTCTGTCTCCTGACATTAATCATTTAAAATGGGCAAAATGTTAAAAAAGAAAGAAATAAAGAAATCCACCTCAACAAGGACTAAGTATTGTTAGTCTTAAAAATGCTATTGGTAGACATGTGTAAATAGATATTCTAGCAGCATCTAGCTGGCCATGATTGAACTTAAAAATAAGCAGGATAGACCCTGAACAATACTTGGATGGGTGACTGCCTTTAAAAAGTCCCTAAAACAACTTTTTAATTCTTTTAATTAGTCTTAATATTTTCAAAATTCAATCATTCACTAGTCAAGTTCTATTCAAGGGTGTGCAAAACAAATGTTCTAGAAAATTTCACCCATATTCTTTTTATACCTCATCTCAATGCGTATTATTTCATTGTCCGTAATGTATAGAAGAGAGAGATTGATTCCTTGCTTTACAGTTTGGTCATAATTGGCCCAGAGAGGCTGATACAGAGAGAGCAAGGCTATGTACAAGCAGTCCTTGACTTAAACAGTTCATTTAGAGACCGTTCAAAGTTACAGCGGAAACCAGATTCACTTAACAACGGTGTTACGAACTGCAGTTAAGAACTGCAGTGATTCACTTAACCAATCGGGTGAGAAAAGTCACAAATTGAAGCAAGAGTCACTTAACAAATGTCTCACTTAACAAATATCTCACTTAGCAACATAAATTTTGGGCTCAACTGTGGTCCTAAGTGGAGGATGATCTGTAATTTGAAAACTGCCTGAATCTTGTGATTGTCATCCCCATTTAAAGGAAAAACCAGTGAAATCCCTCCCTGCCTCTTCAGTGCTGTGGCTATCATGATCTCCTCATTAGTTAAGGTGGGATATAACATGTGGTATTCAGGGATGCCATTATAGTTATACAAACGCCCCCAAGCGCCTTCCAGATTTTAATCTTTTTAAAAGGTTGATTTAATTAAAAAGCAGGGATACACAATCTCATCATAAAGGGAATGTTTTTATGACTGGCCATACCCGTCATAGAAGTTATTTTGTGCATCTGAAAATTCTTTCCGTGACAATTAATTATTGTTGGGCCCTTAATATTCCAAGTCTGCTCATTAATCTAAAAAAAGGAGCTTTCCTAAAATTAAGGAAGGAAACTGAAGGTCTATCTGGAACAGCAGCTTCAAAACTTTCCATGGCATTTAACATTTCCATAAAAGAAGATGGTGTTTCAAGAACAATCTGTTGCGAAATCTATTGCGTTGGCTAACATAAATAGATGGGGAAGCCAGTGGGAAATAATAGCACAGAAAGGGGCAGAGATTTAGGAATGTCCTTGAGATGTGCTTTGGGAGCACATGACACCATAATCATGCTGCAACTAAACAAATTTGGCCGGTCATTTCTATCATGTATGTGCTGCTTTGGATTTAATTGAGGACAGTGCTGATGGGAATAAAAAAATGAACAAGGGAGCATTCTCTTAAAAAAATGTTCCCACTTGGAACATTTGCGTTCAGGATATCTTCTATGCCCATTTCCAAAATGAAGGTAAAGATATGCTCGCAGGGTCTGTACCTAACCCCGATGACGAAACATGCATTGCAATGTCACAATGCAAGACCTGTGGTTTCCCTACTTGTGTTGTGATGTCACACACTGGTACACAAGGGCCAGAGTTTCTCTCTCAGCCTTGCACTGCACACTTTGGTGCTTGCCCCTGTGAAGACACCTATGGTGTTTCTTTGTAGACAAAGTAATTAGAGGATTAACATAATGCATGATAGCACTGAGTACGTTAGGCAAAGAATGGACTGTATTTCATTCACATCCTGATGCAAATTAAACCTTCTGCATTATTTGATCGATGAAGTCAAAATAAATGCATGTGACATTACGGCTTCTATCCAATACATGCAGTGACATTTGAATACTCCATCCTCACTATTTCCCATCAATATTTGGGCCCTACCTCTTGAATATTTCTTCGGGAATGGTGTCCATGACTTTAATCAACTCTAACATTCTTTCATATAAAAACTAAAAGACTATCTGCAAACCTTTCAAGCGCAGAGAAGGCTAATAAGAGGAAAAAAAATATATAGCTGTACGCCATCATGTGATAATTTATTATCAACACGGGGACTTCTGATTAGGCAAAACTTTAGACCTTCAGAGATACATTCCAAAAGGGTGTGACACAGATAGCCCATAGCTTCAGTAACCCATACATTGGGAATTTCTAGATTAGTTGTCCACAAATGTTTTGGGAAGATTTCCTTAAAAATATTTTTCAAAACAATTAGCTAAATCGAAATTGAATGAGTAAATTATGTGCATTGGACATTCTGACCGTAATCTGCTTCTACACTGTTTCTTTTCCAAAGGAATATGCATTTCAATAGTTATCCTATAATCCAGGTAAACGGAGAAGATCATCTGTAGTGGCAAATCCAGTTACAAAATACTATTTCCAAAAACTCTCTTTCCAATGCTGGGTCTTTATCTTTTCCACAGCTTTAATGTAGCATTTTAAATTCTCAGTTTAACCCAGTTTTCATCTTGCTTTCTCTTCCCCACATGCTTCCATTCAAATTATTCAACTGCAGTGCACGTTACATATATTTTTAAAAATCCTCTTACGCTCTTTTGAGGTAGCAAAAATAACTATAATAAATAAAATAAACATGCACACAAAATGGGACACGTGGTGGAAATTAAACTCTTGGGACAGAGAATGTTATAAATTCTAGGAAAAAGAGAAAGTAAACCTCTGGGCAATAGGCAATAATGTAATTACTATTTAATCCCATTGTCCTTTGCCCTAGCATCAACGGATTGCAATCCTGTTTCCCCACTTCCCCACAGTTGTCTCCTTTAAAACAATCCATCTTCCCACCTACATCCTTTCTTCTACCGGTCAGAAACATTCAGTAATGATTTTGTTCTGATTCTCCTTCTCAGTTTGTTCACCATTCATTAGGCTGCTACTCTAGAATATGGATTTTTGTTGGGCTTCAGCAATCTGTTTGTTTGAGGCTTGTCTTTGCATCCTTTTTAAAAGACTCCGGAGTTGCTACAACCTAACAGGATACACAATTATATATCAAACACATATATAATATTTGTTGATCCTGAATTTCATCTTGAATATACTGCACCTATGGACCCCTCAAAGTACAATATTATTTTCAGTAATATAACTCTTACTATTCTCCTGTCTAACAGATGTTTTTTTTTTCTAGAGTACCTTGCTCAGTGAATCCAGCTAACAGAAGAGTAACTCTGATTTCATAATATGTCTGATCCCAGAACTAGGATTTTGTTACTTTATATAACATGTATACATAGCCTATTTTGCGGTATAGTTGAATGTTCATGGATGCTTATCAATTTTTTCCTGGTTTTATGACTCATTGATAATAGCTTAAAGGATGCATTAATAGGAGTGGGAACCTAGAAAATCTCCAAATATTCTGGAATTCAACTTCTGGAAACCCAAGTCAGCTTGGCTAGTGAAGCTCTAGCAACATCTGGGGATCATAAATTGTCCATTCTAGCTCATACTTTTAATCCTTTCTTTCCGGAGTTGTACACTAGGATCTATAAATACTTTTCTCCCAATGTTGCTTCCAAAGTATTTGACAAGGGACTTTTTGGTCTGTTCCTTTATCAATAGCCCTCTTTTTCTACCTTCCAAGAAACAAGCCAATGGCAATAGGGCATC